CTTTCTTTCTTTCTTTCTTTCTTTCTTTCTTTCTTTCTTTCTTTCTTTCTTTCTTTCTTTCAATGATGGATGGAGTAACTGGTCTGCCTGGTGGGTACTTTCCAGGATATTCCCCGGCCCTTTAAAAATGGATAAACTATTATCCTACCACTAGACTACAACCTCTGCTCCTAATAAGAAGATAGCTCTTAGCCTCACTCCAATCTGGCTATTCTTACCTTTTTTTTTGGCTGATTACCTGGATCATGGATTGCTGAGGAGGAATTAGCAGTGGACGGACGGACGGACGGACGGAACACAAGAGAAAACCTTCTATTTCCTTGGAGTCTCGCTGCCAGGAGAAAACAGGCATGGAAATGCAACAAATAAACAAAAATATGTAAAGGGCTGCTTTGGGAGATGGGTGGCTGGATGGCAGTGATGGCTGGGGCACCGTGGAAATAATGGGGACATCTTCAAGGTGGACGAGACCCCTGCTGCCACTGCAGCCACCAACATGTGCTCCCTGCCGTGAAAATGGAGCTGACCTCCCAGGCTAAAACAATCCTGCTGGGTGGCCAGAGTGGCAGGCTAGCATTCCTCTTGCCTAGGGGGAGAGGACTCAGCAGTTCAATTTCCCTTGCATTCAAACATGTGTGTGACAAGGATATTTTTGCTCCAAATTGCAGATTGTTGTTGTTTAGTCGCGTCCGACTCTTCGTGACCCCATGAACCAGAGCACGCCAGTCCCTCGTGTCTTCCACTGCCTCCCGGAGTTGTGTCAGATTCATGTTGTGTAGCTTCAGTGACACTGTCCAACCATCTCGCCCTCTGTTGTCCCCTTAAAGAGACCTTTTAAGACTTTATTTTCTGTGGGTCACTCCTGCCCTGGCACCTTCCTTATTCATCCATAGAATGTATGGGCATATATTTTGGTTGTGGTTTATTTGGGTTTTTCTACACAGACTCATTGCAGCAGGCTGGAGTGGGCTGGTAGAGATCAAGTGGAGGTCCACTGTGCCATTTGGTGCAATTTTCACATCCAAATGGCATATACACTTCAAGTGACACTATTTGGTCCGGCTTCTTCCTCTGCCTGCAGGCAAATCCACTGCGAAATATAGTGGTGCATTCAACTGTGGGAAGATTCCAGGAGGAAACTTCCAATGTTTATTTAATTTTTTTTATAAGTAATGCAGCACACCAGCTATGCCCTCATACAGTATAAACAATTTTTTTTAGTTCCGCTGCCACTCTAGAGAAGCAAAATAAGTGTTTAAATTCTCAATATCCTGAAGTGGCTCTCTTCTTAAGCCACTTGGTGATATAGGAAATTCAAAGAGGAAGGCAAATTGAGAGCAGAAGACTTGCTTTGTTTTGCTCCCACTGATGGCATGCACTGGAAACAAGCCAAAACAGAGCAATCTTACACACACCAAAAATTAGAAGCCCTTGATCAAGACATGGTCTAGAGGGGCAGGGTAAAAATCAAATAAATAAATAAATAAAATAAACCCAGAAATGTGTGGTGAAAAGGCTGGTTCGCTCTAGCAGACGTTGTCTGATCATCAGCTTTAGGAGTGAATCAATCTGTCCGTGAAGTGGAACAAAAAAAGAGACTAAATGCCCTTCCTTCCTTGTTTGTTTGATATCTTCCAGTTTGGGCTGAATTTGTATTATTGTTGGTGATGGCTTTGTTATTTAATTTAAAACACTGAAACAATGCAAAGCCTGTTGTATTGGGAGTGCTTATTTAAAAACTAGCCCCACAGGACTAAGAAATCAGTACACTTCTCATGTTCCACCTGTATGTAAGCATTCAAATACAGTAATAAAAGAAATATGGGATTCTGGGGGGATGTACCGCATAACCACCACCACCACAGACACCCCACTTATATACTCCTGTTTTCCCAAAGCTTTCTTGATTTCAGCAGCCTGGTTTAAAGACGAAAGATTATTCCTGTTCTCATTATTGTTGAGCCACAGGGAACTCAGACCTCTCGTTGATCTATTCCAAGTCACAAAGAAACCTGTCAGTAGATCCCAATTCCCAAACTATGTTCTCACCACATCTGCTCCAGCCCGGTGCTCTTTGTGCTTCTGTGTCTCAGGCAAGAGACCATACCCAATCCTACTTCAACTAAGATTACAATCAATACTTTTAGCAGATTGAGCAGATGTTCATGAGCTTCCTTGAAGTTGGCTATAATGGGAAACAAGACATTGTACTGTACAAGATGGATAGTTGATCTCACCTTGCAGGGCTTTCTGTATGTTCCTCTTGCTAGCAATGCCAAAGATGTAAACCTATGGCCTACAAAAGCACATGCAGTACACCAGACCTATGATTTGCTGAGTTTTGAAATTTATAGGCTCTAGGATAGATACATGTTACAGGACGGATGGCAGAGGGATCAAATTAGGCCATGCTGATGCAATCCCATTTCTCCTACAAGCTTATGTCTCTTAAGTTATGGTAAGAAAAAGTGACTTACCAGCCAGCTTGTACTATGGAACCAACATTCCCTCTGTTTCTGTCCCCCTGCATGGGAGGCCTTGCTCCGTATATGCAGGGGCAGGCAGGGCTTCAGTTGAATTGGGAAGTAAACAAACTGGTTGCCGGCTACCCGTGCGCAACCCTGACGGAGCTCTGGGTAAACGCACATGCACACAGCTTAGAGGGAACATTGTATGGAATTCATCAGAATGGTCAATTCTTTGGCGGCTACAGATAATGGTGTCAAAGTACCCTTTGTCTTGTGTTCTTGCTGGGTCCTGTTGCTCTGCCATCTCCTTGATCAAGGATGGACAATATGAGCAAATCAAATGAATGAATGAATGAAATCCTGCTTCTGACCTCATGAACGATCTTGAGTATTACCAAAGGAGGCCCCACGTCCCAGGATGGAATGTTCCCACGTTTCTGGACTATGACGACCCTTCCCACTGGCTTGGGTTGATGTGAGTTGCAATTCAGAAATGCATGGAGACCCAGGATTTTGTCCTCCCTCTACTAAATCTGCAAGAGTTTCCAACCTGCCCTATAGCAGATGGAAGGAAGGAAGGAAGGAGGAGCTGCCCCTTCAGTAGCAACAGAATTAAAGGTAAAGCATCTTTGGTTTATAAGCTGGCAGCCCTCTCTCTATCCGAGGACCTATTTTGGTAAAAGTCAGGATGATGCAAGAGGTAAGCGGCAGTGCCACGATCACAGAAATCAGAACATAAAAGCTTCAAAGAAGGCATACTGCACAACAGTAAATTGTAATTTATTTATTTTTTAAAGATTTCGTTCACCAGGGAAAATGCTTAGATACTATGTTGATTAAGTTATCATAATTCTCCGTTCACTTCAACAGCAAGGCTTGCTTTTAGAATCATTACATCAAATTACCTTTTTTTAAAAAAGGAAAAATGTGAATCACACACACATTGTTGTGCTCTAAATGAATTGCTGTAACTTGGGAGTGGGAGGGGAACAGGTTTCCTTCCCTTGCCCACACACACACACACACATACACACTCCTAATTCAGAGTCCCAGGTCCCCCGACAAAGCATACTTTTAAGATCCTGCTGTTTGAGCAAGGCTCCCATTTAATTCATTCGAAGGGAGAGGTTCTAGGTGTTCAGAACTGTTCCTTCATTGAAGTTAATTCGGAAAATATTTGCACTGGGAAACAGAGGGGCAGAGCAGGGGGGGTGGAGGCTCAGTGTATCGGGAAAGACAGGTACAGGCTACCAGCAAAACACCATTGAAGGCAGACACTGTCCCTTCACCCATGCTCATCATTAACCTTCATGAATACCAGGTATAAATAACATGGTAGGAACTCCAACAATCTCTCCCCTCCCCACCCCTCCTCAGCACAACAATCCAGTTCTGGTCACCCTGCTAGATGACCTGTTATGGGAGGCTGAGCGGGGGGGGGAGGGAGTGCAACCCCGTTGGTCCTCCTAAATCTCTCATCTACATTCGATACCGTCAACCACAGCATCCTCCCAAACCGGTTGTCGGGATTGGAGGCCTAGCGTTATGCTGGCTTCGTTCTGCCCTCAATGGCGAGTGCCAGAGAGCCCAGCTTGGGAAAGGTGTTTTGTCCCCATGGATACAACGTACACAGGGGTCGATCATCTCCCCCATTGATGTTTACCTTTTACAAGAGGCTGCTGGGAAGAGATCATTCAGAGATCTGGAAATTTTTGTGATCAGTATACATACTCTCTCTCTCTCCTTTTCTTCTTCAGCAGAGGAAGCTGTACAGACCCTAGTTATGGACCAGGCCAGGGCAAATAGGCCGAAACTGAATCCTGACAAGACGGAGATCCTGTTGTTGGGAGAGCATCCTGATTCGTGATGGGGATTGTTGCCTGATCCTGATGGGGTCACATTCCCCCTGAAAAGGTGCAAAACTGGTGTGTGCTTCTGGACCCGGCCCTCTCGATGGAAAAAAGAGATACTGGCCATGGCCAAATCTGCCTTCTTCCATCTGAGGTAGATTGCACACCTCCGCCCCCTTCTCAACAGGAGATCCCTAATAACACTGGTTCACACATTGGCAATCTCAAGGATTGACTACTGCAATGCTCTCTACTTGGGGCTGCCCTTGAAGGCATTTCAGAAGGTGCAGCAAATGCAAAATGCAGTGGCCAGGGTGGTCACTGATACATCTAAATTTGACCATATTTCACCCATCCTGGCTCACTTGCACTGACTACCAGTATACTTTTGGGCCAAATTCAAGGTACTGATGTTATAATGCCTTTTAGGGTTTACGACTTTGCTACCTATCAGAGTGCTTCTCCCTCAAGTCATCCTCCCACTCCACCTGGACCTCCCAGTCTTTGATACTGCAGATGGTCATCAAACAAGAAACCAGGCCTTCTCGGTAGTGGCCACTCCACTCTGGAATTCTTGTTCCTGTGGAGCTGTAATTGACCTCCATCCTCCTGAGTTTTCAAAAGCAAGTTAAAGCCTCACCCCTTTGCAAAATTATTTTGTAGCAAGTTTATGCCGGCCCATGGTTTGACATTCCGAGTCTGGGATTCTTCCCAGACTAGAGGTTTTATGAGGGTCTTGTTGTTTATGTTCATTTTAAAAGCTCTGTATATTCTTCTTGTTTTTTGGAAGCTGCCCACAGTAGTAGCTTGTCCACTACATGGGTGGTGTACACATTTAAGCAAGTTAAATAAGTAAGTAATCCACATTTGTCAACAGAGTGAATTTAAGAGCCAGAGTTTGGAAAAGTTGCTTTTTGAATTATAATTCCCTGAAATCTCCCAGACAACATCAGTTGCTGTGGGATTCTAGAAATTATCTTTCTCAATCCAGACTTTTCCAAGCTTTAGTAAAAGCATAAGGACTACTTCGGTGTTCCAGAGTATACAGTATGTGCACCTAATCCAACTCTGGACATCAGCAGGCTATGATGGAAGATTTCCATCCCAGCCACAGTCATGGATTTTAAAACACAACAGATCCACTGCCCATTAATTAAACACCCCCTTTTTAAAAATCACCTGCACTAATAGCCAAAATCTGCCTGGTGCTGTAGGATCTTCCACCATTCCCGAGCCATAAAGCTTTCTTTTTTTAAAAAAATGAGCTTTTGGATGTGCCTAGGATTACAAGCTTGTCCCATCTCAAGAGAAGACTAGTGTCTCTGTGGATTGATCCCAAGGCCTGTTGTGCCAACTCTAAAACACTCACATGTAATGGCCAAACACAGCAAGCCAGAAGGCTATGACAGTGCTGCAACAGTATTTCAGAGATGATGCCAGCAAACAAAGCAGCAGAAATATTCACAGTGGGGTGCTGTGCAAGGCCAACTTTGGGAAAAAAATATTTTCAAATGCTTTTAAAAAATCTACAAATAATAGTGAAAACTTTCTAATTTGCCTCTATTAACCAAGAGTTTGCCTTTCTGGAATACAAAATACACACAGCTAAACCAAAAGTGAACCCAGATGGACTCGTATATGGCCTTGAAATACTGTTGTGTTTTCCTCCTGTATCTGTAGACAAGGGGAGGGAAGCCTAATGTTTGCCCTCCCCTCCAATGTCACTCAAGATGGCAAAACACCTATGGTACAAGGGGTTTCATTAACCTGCAGAATCAGCTGCTACAATAGGTTCAAAAGGTTAGGTTTCCTAGCACTCTATTAAATGACAAACATTTTTGTAAAGGATACCTACCAAAAGGATAAAAGCTAACCACAAAAATTACTTAGATATATCAAACAACAGTCTTCTATGAACAGCTAATTCCAAACTTTTCCCCCATAGCGTTACTTTTACAATTTCATGTTTGGCTACCTCTGTTAAACCTAGGTTTTTATTTATGTATTTTATTTTTACAATCCCACCCAACTTCTAAAGCTGTGGGTGGTTTACAATATTATTTGCTTTCTTTTTAACTCACTTCCTTATCACAACTACCCAGTTAAGTAGATCACTAAATATTCAGGGCGGGGGAGGGGGATTGTGTGGATTTTTGTCTTTTACCTTCCCCCCTCCCCCCCCTTTTTTTTTAAATCAAAGGAGGTGCAGAGACACAGAGGTAGTGATTTTGCCCATTGGAGCTGTGGCTCAGGCATGATTCAAATAATATTGCCTCCAGCCTTGCGAGAAAAGCCTGCTAGCTGGAGCAGAACTGGTGAGAACACATGTCTCAACGTAACCTAGACTTCACAAATGAAAATGGTACAGAAACAAACAGGCGAAGTAGCCACAGGCCCACATTAGCCCTCCTGCCCACAATCTCTGCCTTTAGGGCCATGACACTTTAAAAATTAATAATAATAAAAGACCAGGAATCCAATAGGAACTCAGACAAGTTGTCTTAGGGCTCCAGTAAGGATTACAGGCGGCTGATTTTCTGAAAAAGGGAAAACATTTTCTCCATTTCACTAGACTCTGTGTTCACATATTCAGTGGCCCATCAGTCTGGACCGGTTGCTTGTTCCTTTACAATCTCACCTTATTTCATTTGCCTTTCAATCCATGGCATATGTGTGTGTGTATGTGCATCACATACACATACACACACACACGTATCTACATACACCTCCACCTTCTCAGTCCTTGAGTATCTGATGGAGTCTGTTGCCCATGCATGCCAGGGCCCCAATAAACCACTCAGTCTCTTAAAGTGCCAGGGCACATCCTGTCTTCCTGTTGCCACAGAGGAGGGCTCTTCTGCCACCAGATGTCCATTCCTTTGTAGCCACACCGTTGAGAAAGCAGAGCTGGAATCAAAACAACAACACAGTTCCATGTCTGGGAAGCATGCCTTTGTATGGAGGTCTCAACCTACCTAGCTTACCAACAAGGCGTTTGTAAAAATGGATTGACCCTAATATGGAGAAAAACCTATGCGGCCAATAGATTCCTTACCAGCCAGGGCCTCCTAACTGAGGAGACAAGAAGAGCATGATCCGGTGGATGGAGCTAGCATCCAAAACCATTAAAATAGAAAACCAAAGAAAAAACTGAGATTAATTTACTACTAGGGCTATTTCCTAACGACATATTCTCTATCACTCATGAGTCTTTTGCTAAGAGATGGGGGTCTTCCTCCCCTCCCCTCCCCGCCCTCAAAGGGACCTGTGGCCTGGTTTATGTAGGTAGTCAGAAGAGAAAAGCAAAGAGCATCCCAGAAAATGGTGTTAATATGGAGCCACGCATCTCTCTCCTAACTCAATGCAGTTCATGGAGATCAATAAATAACTCCATAGTATCTTGAACAAAACCCAAGCATTAACATAGAATATTTTCTCCCATCTTACTCAGTATGGGCAGTGTTTTGTCAGGGACCTACTTGTCAACAATCAGACAAGTTTTATGAATACAGGTGTTGACGGATGTGTAAATATATTAGCTTTTTGGCAGTGTATGTCCAAAACGTAGGGGAACAAAGCTACTCAAGATATTCAAAAAATAGTGAACACGATCATTCATCAGCTTCTGAGCATCCCTCGTAGCCTATGCAACATCTGGATCTTGTTAAAGATACTATAGACTGATATCCAGCAGTTGTATTCAGTCAAGAGGGGAACATCCCAGCCTTGTCTGAAATCACCCTGGCAAAAAAAAAAATCCTTCAAAATGGTTCCTGCGCCCTTCAGAAAAGAGAAAGAATTTCCCTCCTGAGGCTCCCATTTCTCTCTGTCCTCCCCCCTCCACCCCTTTGGAGCGCGGCTGGTTAAAACAACGGGATAGGGTAGGCGAACAAGGGGTTCTCTCTGTTGTGGATCTTCTCGTGTCTCTTGTGGTGGGAACTGTGGCTGAAGCACTTGCCGCAGAACCGGCAGGCGTAAGGCTTCTCCCCAGTGTGAATCCGGTGGTGCTGGACCAGGGTGGATTTGTCAGTGAAGCAATTCCCGCACTCGGAGCACACGTACGGCTTCTCCCCCGTGTGGATCCGCTGGTGCCTAAAGAGGTTGGAGCTGACGTTGAAGCTTTTCTCACAGATGTTGCACTTGTAGGGCTTCTCCCCGGTGTGGATGCGCATGTGTTTGATGAGGTCGGCGTTGTGGCTGAAGCTCCGCAGGCACTCCGTACACGTGTTCAAGACCTCGGCTTTCGGCCTGGGCTTGGGCTTCTCCCCGCCGAGGCTGCCGAGGTCCGGGCCGTCGCTCTGGCCGCAAGCCTCCTGCTGGTCTTCGGGAGAGTCCTTGAGGTGTTTCTTCTTGTGAGAGCTGCGGCTGTAGCTTTTCCCGCAATCGATGCACTCGTAGGGCTTCTCCCCCGTATGGATCCGCTGGTGCTGCGTGAGGTTGGACTTGTCGTTGAACCGTTTGCCACAGTCGAGGCAGATGTAGGGCTTCTCCCCCGTGTGGATCCTCTGGTGCCTATTCAGGCTCGAACGGACCGTAAAGCTTTTGCCACATTCGGAACACTTGTGGGGTTTATCGTCAGGCTGGACGGGCCAGGGATTGACCAGGCTCGAGTTCTGGATAAAGACTTTCCCACACTCTATGCAAATGTCAGGGATCTCTTCCGTTTGGGTACCACGGTGTACCAAGAAGGCTTTGCGTTTCTTGATGGTATGTACGGGTTTCACGGGCCATGTCATGGAGGCGATTTTCTTTTCCCTGCCTTCAGTCCCACGTGCGTGGCTGTGCCCAGGGCTTAAACTCAGCATCTTAAGGAGTTTCCTTTTGGTCACGAGCTGCGACCTAGCCTCTTCGCGGCCAAAGTTCTCCTCCATGTGGCTCATCTTGATACTTCTTCTTACCTAGCAGGAAATCAAACATGTGGCTCGTTTAATGAAAAAAAAAGGACAATTCCCCAAAGAGCAAAAGCATCAACATTTTAATCCTGACCCCCCCTTTACCCGCTCTCCCTTTACTTTTGTACTAAGGACTCAAGATGCACACCTTATAGCAGGAAATTAATGCACTGGCCATAAGCTGGCAATTGCTCCTGATATCATTGAGGAGGCTGGATCATTATTTCTGCCTGCATTACCAGAAAAAGGAATTTAGCAGACAAATTCCTGAGCAAAAAGGATTCTCAAGGTCCAGCCATTCTCAACAGGGAGCCATATGGCCCTCTGGGGGGATCCTGGACACGTTTGAAGGGGGCCACATTGTGCAGCTTAAACAATCCTGTTCAGGCCTAGATTTTCGTCATACTGTGTTTAAAAAAAAAGACAGAGAATGGCTGAAGTAGACTAACTCTCTGGAACACAGCTGCCTTACACTTACAGCTACGTCAATGTCACGGCTCCTTGGAAGTACAAAAAGCCTGCAGGCAGTGTTACCAAGCTCACCTTCTAAGACTTCCTAAGATTCCCACTGTTCTCTTTCAAGACGCCAGCTCCTTGCAAGTTATGGCCAAAGAAGGAAGGCAGGGCAAAGTTCAAAGGCTCCCAAGTCCTGCACAACTGTGGTTCTCAAGCAGTATGTGGACCACTTGTGGGATACGACAGTAGTCAGAATGTGATTTTTAAAAGTTTGAATTAATGTGAGTAAAAATTCACTTGTCCTCAGTCTCCATGCCCTCCTACAAGTGGCTTGCGTCACTTCCTAAATACTTGCCACAATTATTCATCCATGACCTTCAGACACTCAGAACACCTCCATTATTCCCTGTTCTCACTGCGCATCAACTTACCATCAATGATCAATGTAACGGAATGCCTGCAAACAGGGTTTCTGTTTCTAGCTTTTTCGGAACTTAGCGTCTCCAGCAGAGTGATGGGTAGGTAGAAACATACCAAATGTTGAGAACCATTGCTCTGCAACACGGACCAAGTTCCTGGAAATTGCAAGGCTGGCAGATGTGGCACGCAGAACTGGGCACACTTCAAGATCACAGGGCGCAACTGCAAGTGGGTATAACATCTAGAGTTTCTGGCAGAGCTGCCTAATCCATGCAAAGGACTCAGGGTACATGCCAATGTTGCAGGTCCCACCCCCTCCTGACCCACGGTCCCTTCAGGAAAGCAAAGAGGAAACAGCAGGGCGCCCGAGGCAGTCATATAGCACTCAGAAAGAAGATCAGATTGGGCTCCCTGGTTGCTAGATTCTACAACAGACCATGCACCAAACCTTCTCAGGCTGCATGTTGATTTCACACCACCTTTGATGCCCCTTAATACAGTGGTTCCCAATCTTGGGTCCCTAGAGGTTCGTAGACTACAACTCCCAGAAATCCTGGTCAACACAACTACAGATGAAGAACTCTGGGAGTTTTAGTCCAAACACATCTGGGGCCCCAAGATTGGGAAGCACTGCCTTAATAGAAGAGAAGGTGAGCAAGCCTAAAGCTTCATTCCACAGATAGACCCAAGAAGAAAAATTACTTTTTGGGCTGGGGGGGAAACTGCTGGAAGTCTAGATTGTTTGGACACCACGTCCTGCAAACACCCTAATCCCCAAATACATAAGACGAGCACTGCTCCAGATCCTCCCGCATGCTGCTTTCGAGGCCACATTCCAGCCAGACAGCCCTGTTATCGGAGCAATGCAGAAGGCGGCCACAAAAAACCACACAGGCTGCCTGCCGCTCATACACACAGGTCACCTGGCCACTGGTACCCCATGCTTGCAATCCACCAGGGATACTGTGTTTGAATGCGTTTCGGGATGTGGGAGCCAAACACAACGAGCAATGCCGGAAGGGAAAAAAAAAGAAAGATACTCTGCACACGCTCAGAGTCGCTCTCCGTTCACACTCGGCTCCTCGTGCAGCCAGTCCTGCTCCCGATCCATCCCATTCGGAAAAGAGTCACCCTCTCTTCCCAGGCTTAGAGTAGAGCCGGAGCAAAGAGGCAAGAAGGGGAAAAAAATGCCCCACGGGGTGGCATGGGGGGGGCGGTCAAGGAGGCGGCTGCTTTCCAGCCCCAGCGACCCAGGGGCCAAATCCTGACCCACCCACTCCGACCCGCAGCGAGTTCCGCGAATGCAAGGAGGAGCCGCAGACGAAAGCGTGCACGAACAGATCCTCGCTCCTCCGCCGCCCTCTTCCTGACCCGGGAGGGGGGGGGCTTTGCTGGTCCCTACCTTGCGTTGGAGGAAGCGAGAGCACCCGGGGAGGAGGGCGGTGGACGCGACCGTGGAGGGGAGGGAGCTCCCCGCTCCGGGGGGGGGCGCCCCTTTTGTGCGCCTCGACTCTCTCTCGTCTCTCTCTCCCCCCGGCTGGTTCACCGCTCGAAGGCTGGGCGCCTGCCTCCCCCTCGCCGCTGCCCCCGCATTGAACGGCGCTCCTAAAGGTCCATGCCGAAAGTGTGGGGGGCTAGAGGTGTGTGTGGGGGGTGAGGAAGGCTCTCCCCCCGTGCCTGGAAGGGCTGGGGGGGTCCACAATGGGGAAGCAGCAGCAGCAGGAGGAGGAAGAGGAGGAGGAGGCGGCCTCTCGCGGCAGCAGCCAGAGGAGCCCGGCTACCTCTGACCCAGGAAACTCAACCCTGCCAAGGCCGACCGGATCAGACAAAGAAAGCGGCCGCCTCTCCGGGCCCCGCCGGAGCCCTCTAGTGGAGAGCCGGGAAGGTGGGCCGGGCCGGCCGGCCGGCGGCCTGAGGAGAAACCCGCAAAAAAAGGAACGGGGACCGACGGTGTCACAGTGGCCGCCGTGCCTCTGCACTTGCGCAGAGTGCCTTTCCGTGCTGACGGAGAGGGTCCCGGGTGCGTGCAGAGAGGTGCCCTTCTTTGGAGAGGGTTCTTAAAGACATCGAAATAGGGAGGCAGTGAAGAACAGATTATAGGAACTCGATTTGGTGGACAAGAGTGGACTGCATTCAATATGCCAGCAAGTTTGGAAAACTCAGCAGTGGCCAGAGGACTGGAAAAGATCAGTCTACATCCCAATCCCAAAGAAGGGCAGTGCCAAAGAATGCTCCAACTACTGTACAAATGCACTCATTTCACACGCTAGCAAGGTTATGCTCAAAATCCTTCAGCAGTATATGGACCGAGAACTCCCAGAAGTACAAGCTGGATTTCGAAGGGGCAGAGGAACTAGAGACCAAAATGCTAACATGTGCTGGATTATGGAGAAAGCCAGAGAGTTCCAGAAAAATATCTACTTCTGCTTCATTGACTATGCGAAAGCCTTTGACTGTGCGGAACACAGCAAACTATGGCAAGTCCTTAAAGAAATGGGAGTGCCTGACCACCTTATCTATCTCCTGAGAAACCTATATGTGGGACAGGAAGCAACAGTTAGAACTGGATATGGAACAATTGATTGGTTCAAAATTGGGAAAGGAGTACGACAAGGCTGTATATTGTCTCCCTGCTTATTTAACTTATATGCAGAATACATCATGAGAAAGGCAGGACTGGATGAATGCCAAGGCAGAATTAAGATTGCCAGAAGAAATATCAACAACCTCAGATATGCAGATGATATGCTAATAGCAGAAAGTCAGAAGGAATTAAAGAACCTCTTAATGAGGGTGAAAGAGGAGAGCACCAAAAATGGTCTCAAGCTCAATATCAAGAAAACAGATCATGAGAATACATCATGAGAAAGGCAGGACTGGATGAATGCCAAGGCAGAATTAAGATTGCCAGAAGAAATATCAACAACCTCAGATATGCAGATGATATGCTAATAGCAGAAAGTCAGAAGGAATTAAAGAACCTCTTAATGAGGGTGAAAGAGGAGAGCACCAAAAATGGTCTCAAGCTCAATATCAAGAAAACAGATCATGTGGCCACTGGTCCTATCACCTCTTGGCAAACAGAAGGGGACAAATATGGAGGCAGTGACAGATTTTACTTTCTTGGGATCCATAATCACTGCGGATGGTGACAGCAGCCACAAGATTGAAAGATGCCTGCTTCTTGAGAGGAAAGCAATGAGAAACCTAGACACCATCTTAAAAAGCAGAGACATCACCTTGTTAACAAAGGTCTGCATAGTCAAAGCTATGGTTTATCCAGTAGTGATGTATGGAAGTGAGAGCTGG